AGCCAGATGCAGGACTTGATCCCAGGACCCTGAAATCATGACTTGAGCTGAAGGCAGACACTTAACTGACTGAGCCACCCAGGCACCCAGGACTAGTTACCTTCATTTGTTAAGATTCTAAGTTTATATGGAAATAATCCACATCATTTCAGCTAAAAATGTTGAGATGTGAAATTTTTAGAGTACTTAGATATGACCTTTTTCCTAAGTTTTTTTGTAGATTTTCTCTTGGATTATATATTTCCAAATTTTGCTTCCATTGACAGTCATTTTCTTTAGAAATCATATTTTCTGGTAACTAATCTTCTATTTCTCATTAAAACTGAACCCTTTTTACATTCCTTCTTACAACTTCTATGGGGGAGTTGGAGACTTTCCTTTGTATACTTGGCATAATACCTACAATATTCTGTCACTAATATCATGTGATGGTCTCTAGGAAATAAGGTCTTTTATGTTACATATACTTTATAGAAATGATGGATCTTAGAAAAAGGAACACAATTACATTATCCTATTAATCCCTATAACTTAAAGTAAGATATATAAAATTTTCTCTATAGTAAACTGAAATGTTTTCTTCAGGTTGTCTGTATAACCAAAAGCAGATCATCCTATTATATCATGATTTGTTATGTCTCTCTGTCCAACTAGAATGACTAGAAATTACTTTCTAGTAATGGGTGAAGGGGATATTAACTCAAGACTGAAAAAGAAAGGTTCATGGCCTTTATAAATTATGAAATGAATGATTTAAAAAAATTATGAAGGCAAGTTATCCAAACTAGTATACAAGTAACTCAAAATCTCACAATCTGCCTACCAACGTTATCATTTGTCTCCAACATACACCCAATATGCCAGACATTCTGGTTTTCTAATTCATCTTGAAACACATGATGATTATCCCTAGTTATCTACCATCATTAAAAAGAACTACAACCATTTAACATAATTTTTCAAAGAACTCTGACAAAAATCATTTTATTTGACCCAAAAAACAATCCTACATAACAAAATAAAAAAGGGTCACTGCATTTCCTCATTCACAGGTGAGGAAACTGAGTTCAGAGAGAGTAAATGACTCAGCCATGAAAATTTGGCTAGTAATGGGCAAAATGGAAGCTAAAAGGTAGGTTCTGAGTTCAGCATTCTCCGATCTTGTAAGGTTATGGCTTCTTCCCTTATATAACCTAATTCTACCTATCCTTCAAGATCCTTCTGTTCCATTTTACAGTATTGCCCATCCCCACCCCATCACCAAAAATTCCTCCCTCCCCTAAAGTCCTGTTAATCTCAATGGTCATTAATCTTGGTGTTCATTGACAGTGTATCTTACGATGTTAGGTAATAGTCTATATGTAGTATATTTCCTGACCACTTAACTATACCACTAGCTTCTTGAGGTTTCTATGTGTTTTCTGTATTGTTTGTATCCCCCTGGTGTACCAATGATCTCTTTTGTTTTGCCTTTGTTTGGGCCTGCCTGATATCCCTTCACCTGCCCTTAATCTTTGGTGTCCCTATCTTTGGTTAACAGCATTCTTTAGGACATGACCCATCTTCCATCACAGATAGTCTTGGTAGTGTTCTCAATCAAGGTTCTTTGCCTTCCCTTGGACAAGGAGTATTCTTGTAATCCAAACTAGGTCAATCAGTCTCTCTTTCTAATAAGAATTTGAATCAAATTCAGGCAAAGGAGTAAGAAAATGGCTGGAGCTAATATACACAAAGACAATTTCCTGAAAAGACTTTCCATTTGTTCTTGCTCCCTGTCTTCTCAAAGCTGCTGCTGTTGTTGTTTTCTTAAATTATTTATTTATTTATTTATTTATTAAATGATTATATTTGTCAGAGAGAGAGAGAGAGAGAGAGAGCACACTCACAAGCAGGGGGACCAAGCAGGGGAACCAGCAGGCAGAGGGAGAAGCAGACTCCCAGCTGAGCAAGGAGCCTGATGAGGGACTCAATCCCAGGACCCTGGGATCATGACCTGAGCCGAAGGCAGACCCTCAACCAACTGAGCCACCCAGGCATCCCAGTTGCTGCTTTTTTAAAGGCCAAGTTATTCAGCCTTTCTTCAGTTTCTGGTTGAGCTATTTCATATCTTCCTGATAAATTGCATATTCCTTTTTTTTTTTTTTTTTGCTTAAGTCAGGCAGAACCACTTCCCCTTGTTTGCAAAGATCCTTATCTGACATACCCACAAAGCTTAGTGCCTAGGGAGTGTTAAGGATTTTCAAAAGTTTTGTTCTTATGCAGATTATATGTTATTGTATATAACTGAAAACATAAATAAATGACCCTGAAGTGCACCCCTGCTATTGGTTAGAATTTTAATAACCAACAGGCAAGCAGGGGCAAAACTAACATCAGGAATTCATCTGCATGGAAATGACTTGTATTACAGTTCAGAAACCTGGTTTGAGGACTCACAAAGTGATAATTCATGGCTGCAAATTAACAAAGCATTTTGTGGTAAGGGTAGTACTTATAGTAATGATACCATTTAGTTATATTTGACATTTAGGTTGTTAACCCATCTGTTTTCCTTTTCTTCCCAAATATTATAGGAGCCAATTGTGATTATCTGAATTTTTAATATTATTTTACTGCAAGATACATCTGGTAAGTTTAACTGCTTATACCATGGCTCCTTTTTAAAAAAGTACGTGAATATTTTAACATACTGTAGCTTCTTATGAAGAGCAGATTATAGTTTTAAATTCACTGAGAGAGGAAATTATGATTAGAATAATTTAGGTGGGAAAATGTTACCATTTTTCTAAGCATAATCAGTGTTCTACAAAGGAAGTTCTCTCTGCTATTCTTTAAGGAAAACAAATTAAGAAAAATCAACCAAGTAATCTTTTATAATATAACTGGAATTTAACAGCAATTCTAGCTAATTATACATCAGTAGTTAATTTACTTTTGAACAGATTACAAACCTAAGCTAACTATTTCTATGTACTTCATAAATTTCTGTCATTTTAGACATTTACATCTACTTAGAATCCTTTGTATTCCAGGAACATCCTCTTAATCCTAGACATTAGGGGAATATCATGCATGTATGTGATATTTCTCTTTCTTAATGACAAGTATTTCCCTGAAGATAAAAATCCTACTGATAAGTGGTGGTGGGGGGGAAGGGGGCATTTTTAAACCATTCGCTTCTTCTCTTTTAGAACATCTATTACTACATGATAGTATTTCCCACAAGATTATTTTTATTTCATTTGAAGTTGGCAAAAATCTTTGTGCTGAATCCTTTGAGCATACCTCTAGTGATAGATGTCAGATCAGTGTTGCATGGAAGAACTTTTATTTGACAGGTAGATGACAGGAAGAAGCTTCTCTCCAGAATGTAACTGTTAAATCCTTCTGTGAGATTAATATCATCTTTTGTTTCTGTGTATAAATAACTTATTTGTATTTGCTATATAAAATCAGTTCATGTAATTACTTGGAATACTGTGAAATTAAGACACTTAGAACGGGTACATATTTATTCAAATTAGATAGTTTGTTTTAACTCTTTTTTATATGAATCAAATGTGAAATAGGTGTACAATATAAATTTTCAATGATCTTTTCTCTTAACTTATAATATTTTTATAATCATCTACCAAAAATACCTTGATTTACTCACTGTGCATATAGCATATACTCAAAACAAATAGCATCTTCAGAAGAGATGACTTTATTAGTATTGAATATATGGTATGCAATACAATGAAAATGTATTGAATATTTAGATTTATCCTATAAATCTGGTTATGATTTATTCCACTTTATTATAAGCATTGCCTTATTCTCTCTGGCATTATCAAATAATTTCACATGTCCCTTAATATCACAAGAAAAGGGAGTAACTTTTTTTTTTTTTTTTATAAAATCTACCATTCCAGAGGATCTTCCCTATCTTCCTGGTCCACTTTCCTTATACACCTCAAAAATGAATAAGGAGTACCAGATATAATTCCATTATACATCCTATTACCTACAAAGGTTGTTCTCTGTCTATTTAGGTTAGAACTACTTGAAGCAAATCACTTTTGATACATATTAAAATGCCAGTGCATGTATATGTAACGTACATCTATTTAATGCATGACTAGAAATTTATATCCATTCCTATGTTTGGGATTCTTGTTATAATATACTTTAAGAACTAACCGAAGTCTCTCAATGTTTTAAGCTGGGAGAAGAAAAAAAGTGAAAGAATGGTGAGATGTGAAAAAGGGATTGCTTGTTTTCAGATTTATTTTCCTCTTTAGCTTTCTTAAAGGCCTTCACCTTAATGTCTGTTCAGCTTTCTCTTTGTAACAGACAGATCTTTCCCTTGAATAAGGTGGTTCATTATAGCCTAGAAATGGCCATATACGATCACTTTTGTGCTTCTCTGTTTCTTCTCACGAGAATTGAAATCTCAAAAAAAAAAAAATACTATGAAATGCTTGATCAAAACAATAAGATGATTATCACTTGAATTTTTTTCAACTTTTAGTTAATAGACTAGATATCTAGTATAAGCTTAGTAACAACAGTATTTAACAACTAAGACTATTGATTGTTTAGACTAGAATAAGCAAAGCATATTCAAAAAGAGGTTTCTGGCTATTTACCTCATTACATTTAGCTCCTCACATAGTTTTTAGAGAGACATTAAATAAGTACAAGGGAATTGAAATACAATATTGCATCTACTTTATAAAAGGAAATTTTTTTTTAATTTACAAACTCCAGTAAGATCTGATCAGAGGAGTTTAGTACTATACTACCACAGAATTTGCATTGTCTTTGAGATTTCACTGCACTAAAATTAAAAATATATATATTTATCTGTTTTAATTTAGACATAATTCACTTACCACAACATTCACCCTTTTAAAGCATACTTATTTTTTTTGCTTATGTACTACTGCCAATTTAGACTGATCTCTCTCACAGATGAGATTATTATTGTAAATTAGCGTTATAAAATGTTATCTTACCTTACAAAGGAAGTTGATTTTAAAACCCAAAGACTGGGCATTTCTTGAGCCTGAGTTCATGTAGTTTCCAACCAAAAGAACTAACTCTAAAAGTCTGTTAAAGCTTTCACTTTTCTTCAGTTCTTCACAGGCAAGAGTTACTGCTATGATGCTTGGTTTGATGTTGTTTACATGTTCTTCAAACGTCAGCTTGAAAAGAATGTTTTCGAGACGAGGCTGTAACATTTTCACTGAGCTCATCTGTAAGATAAGAAATGCTCTGTAAGAACATATATATAAAGCCTGTTGTTTCATTTTCCAGTAGGCATAATTTTATACACAGGACTAAAATTTCTGCATAAAATGAATTCTTCCTGGGTTTTAAAAATTATTATTTTGGTTTGTTTTAGACATTCCAAAGGAATATTTTTATCAAAGTTTAAAAATAGTTAGCTGTTCAGTTTTAAACAAATCATCCTTGTAACAGTAAGAAAATATTATTGAAGCTAAGTAGTTGCTATTTGTTAACTGCATAATCATTAGTCATCAGTAGCATTTAAACTACCAATTGTCCCTGAGGTGAACTATGAAAATTTACAAACATGAAATTGAGTTGAGTGAATAGTTTGGCCACAGATAAAAGATGTACATGATGACAGAAAATGTAAGTGGAACCACATTTCCTAAGAAATTACTATTACTATGCTATTTGAAATCAGAGGACTAGCTCTGATTGAACATTTAGTAATTTTTAAACCTATGATTTCTATTCATCAAACATATTAAATATTTACATATGCTCTAAAGAATTTCCCCTACTTGACAGAATGTTGATGTTAAATAATTAGGTTACAGTAAAATCCCACAAGCTTACTTTTAAGTACATTATTCAAGAATTCTATATTGGTTTTCTTTGAAACAGTTCAACTTAGCTTTTTATTATTTGTTTCAAAGGATTGGTGCACATTCTCTATTCCCTTTGGTGTAGCTCCTATGGTAATAAATTCTTTTAGCCATTAATTTCCTATAACTCCAAGTCATTTAACTAGCTTTCATTCACCAAATGAATTCTGAGACAGAGGTGGGGGTGGGAGTAGACACATATGAACATATGCAAGCATACACAAATGAAAATAATTTTTTTTTCCTTTAGTAGGCTCCACACTGTGTGTGGAGCCCAATTTGGGGCTTGAACCAATGACCCTGAGATAAAAACCTGAGCTGAGATCAAGTCGGACACTCACCCGACTGAGCCACTCAGGCACCCCAAAAGAAATTATTAATAGTCCTAATTATATTTTTTTTGCACTTAAAAATAGCTTAGTTTCTTGAATATAAACATGAAAAGAATTTGACGACATAAACAAAAGTCCTTAAGTCACAAAGTGCCCTTCAAAAGAAGCAAATAAGCTAGCCCGGTGATGGGTATTAAGGAGGGCGTATTGCATGGAGCACTGGGTGTTATACGCAAACAATGAATCATGGAACGCTACATCAAAAACTAATGATGAACTGTATGGTGACTAACATAACATAATTAAAAAAAAAGAAGCAAATGAGCTGTTGAATATATCATATCTGCTCTAATATGGAAGGAAGGCAAAAGTTCATAATTTTTCTTCTTTGAAATGAACTTGCCCATTAACATTGGGTGTCTGCCTCTCTAAAGATTAACCTTTGCCTTCTGCTAATCCCTGTATATGCTCTTATGCTCTTTATAGGCGATGTACAAAAGTATGCTGGGAATATTGACCTGTTACTATTATTTATGTAGATCTTATTAATACTTCTCAATAGCTCTTTTTTTTTTTTTTATATGATTGGGGTAATATTATACAAACCATCCTACAGTTTCTTCATCACTCCCATGGTAAGTATAAGACATACCACCAAATCACAAATTTCCAATATAGCCTAAAACTCATAACACAGTCATTTGAAAACTATAGCCACTGATAAAACTAGCATATGATTCTAGATGGGTAAACAGATATTAAGTGCTAGAGATATGTGCTGAAGGAAAACTTTAAACTCCTGTTTTTAAGATTTTATTTATTTGAGAGTGAGGGGGCATACGAGCAAGCGGGGTGGGGGGCGGCAGAGGGAGAACAAGAGAGACAATGTCAAGCCGACTCCACTCTGAGTGCAGAGCCTGACATGGGACTCGGTCTCACAGCCCCAAGATCATGACCTGAGCTGAAACCAAGAGTTGAACACTTAACTGAATGAGCCACCTAGGTGCCCCAAAACTTTAAACTCTTATGACTACAACATTTAATGAAGACTTCACAATAATATGAATGGACAGAAAAACAAATGAGAGAGAAAAAGAGAGAGATTGAGACAGAGAGAGAACAAACAGGAGCCAAAAGGAAGGTGTAGAAAGAATATAGTATGAGAAAAGGTTTATAGGTAGGAATACACAAGGTATATCCCTAGGGGCAAAATTTGGACTGAAGGACCCAAAGAGTCCATGTAAAGGTCAGGAAATTGGAAGCTAACCATATCAAATTCTTTATCTCCATGAATGCAGAAATCTCTTTGTATATGTTTGCATGGGAATCTAAGTTTCTATATGTTTTTCTGCCTTTCTTTATGCCTCTACCACTCTCTCCAAATCCCTCCCCACTTTATTTTTCCTTTGTTTCCATTGGTAACTGGCATCATTTGCACATACACATGTTTCTATCATTTTATGTGTGGAAGGGATAGTTTTTCAGTCTCTCTGATGGTTAAAAAAAAGCCCTAAAGCTACTCTGACCAAGTGCTAGTCACAATTTACATGACTGCCCTTCTGGCCATGCTTTGTAGGGCTTGCAGGTTCACCAGGGTGGCCTTGGTCCCAGATGAACAAGTAATTTAAACCCTTCTGCTTATATGGATTTTTAGTCTCACTTCAGTTCTAATACTACTTGTCTTCATTCATATTGTTACCCTTTCTGGGGTTTGTATTTCAATCTTTGGCCTACAGATCCAGACAGAATGGATTTAACCTTTTTTTAATACCACCTCTGACTGAAATAATGTGACCAAAAGTGTAATTGCATAATAATAGTAAAATAACAGTGATTAACGTTTATTAAGTTCTTTATGCCAAACATTTTCCTGCATATATATTACAAATACGTATTAACTGATTTGAGTCTCAGAACAATCCTAGGAGAAGGTTATTAGCATTAGTCTCATTCTAAAGATTAGGAAAGTGAGGCACAGAAATACTAAGTGATTTATGCAAAATCAAGTTGTATGTTAAAGATCTGGAGATTTGAACTCAGGCATTCAGGTCACATAACCCAGACTCTCAACCACTACACCACAATGACTCTTGAATTCATATTGGGAGTAGTATGTAAGACTGGTTGAAGGAGAGATTAGTGGCATGGACAGTATTACTAAGTCTTCAAAATGACCTAAAAAACAGGTAATGAACTAGGATGTTGATGGTAGGAAGGGGTAAGATTCAATGGATATGAGAGACAGAATTAAGGAAGAATCAATGGGATTTAGCATTAGTTATGAGAGAAGATAGTCAAAGATGACTCCAAGGTTTTAAGTCTGTTGTGAGGTAGAACACTGTTGGCATTAATGAAGGCAGAAAGAGGTGCTGGTTTGCTGTGGTTTACTATTTGGATTGTTGCTTTGTTTCGGGTGAATTTGTTTACCCTGATCTTCTGCTGCCTATACTATAGCAAGCTAATCAGAAACTAAGGCAGTGTAGGTGCAGGTAAGGTGCAGCTTAGTAGCAAATTCAAATTCAATTAAAGACTGAATCTAGAAACTTTCACATTGTCTCACTGTGAGAAACTAACCTACCTAATTTCTCCTGTCTTCAGTTTCCTCATCTACAAGGTAGGGGAAATTCCTGTGATCAGTCTTGTTTTGATAATTAGATAGGAGCCAAATAATGATCCATAAACATTACCTCCTTCTTTTTTAATCTCTGCTTCTAGAATTGGGAAAAGGTGGGGGAAAAGGTGCTTGATTATACAAATAAAAATATTACTTGGTTGTTACAAAAAAAAAAAATTGGCCTTGGGGCACGTGGATGGTTCAGTCGTTAGGCGTCTGCCTTCGGGATCGAGCCCCGCATCTGGCTCCCTGCTCCACGGGAAGCCTGCTTCTTCCTCTCCCACTCCCCCTGCTTGTGTTCCCTCTCTCGCTGTGTCTCTCTCTGTCAAATAAATAAATAAAATCTTTAAAAAAAAATTGGCCTTTAAGTGAACTTGGTTTACCATCCTGTCAGACATCAGTATATTTCAGACACTACTAGCTTTCCACTATTAAGGCTCCAAATCTTGGGATCATATTCAAATTGTGGTAAACACAATGTAATTTAATACAATTCCTTGCTGTATTTTGACTTGAAGAATTTCTTAGAATTGTCTCTTATTTTCCATGCTCAACATTCAAGCATAAGTTTTATGTACCTCAAGGTTGATTTAGTAAAACTGACTATTTAAATGTGCTCTCTGGGGCACCTGGGTGGCTCAGTCCATTACGCATCTGCCTTCAGCTCAGGTCATTATCTCAGGGTCCTGGGATCGAGCCCCGCGTAGGGCTCCCTGCTCCGCAGGGAGTCTACTTCTCCCTCTGAACCTCCCTGGGCTCATGCTCTCTCTCTCTTTAATAAATAAATAAAAAATTTTTAAAAAGTAAATGTGCTCTCTGATCCCTCCAGCCTTTCCCCCTCCAAATCTTCACATAAATAGTAAAATGACACCTCTGTGATAGGAAAATATTGCTTTCTTGACATTTTTAGTTTTAGGTATTATATCTGGTAGCATCTGGAAATTCAGTCCTTAAGTTTAGGAGGAGATAAGTATTAGAGTTGGCAGATTTGGGGAGTTATCCAAATAGATGCTGTGGGAGGTAAGGTTGTTGATGAGGCGAGTACATAGGGAGAAGAGTCAGGGACTGCACCTTGTGTAGCGCCTAGGACAGCGACTTGCATATATTAGACATTCAAATATTTAAAAGAACTCCTTAGCTAACCATTTTTCAGATTTCCCAAGTAGGACAGCCAGATTATCTAGTGAACAAAATTAACAGTGAATGGTGATGTTTTACTGTCTCCAAAATAATGTCTTAAGCTATCAAATCAGAAATGCTAGGGAATTAACTTTGTTGAACTGTTATTACTAGATTTAATCCATCATCAGTCAGCCTGATTTTTGGGAAGAGGCTGTATACTGTAAGGGGTCAGAGATGCCCTTGGATCTGGCAAAATTTCTTCTTTCATTTGCCCTCTAGAACACAGTTTA